CAAGCTAATGCACAGGTTCTTTCAGCCTCTCCTTATCCATTAGACAGGAACAGATTTGTTCTTTTATTATGTACGTTATTGCCTTGCTCTAAGATACAAGGAAATGTTTTTTAAAAATGGTAAATGTGTAAAGAGCCCACAAGTATGGACTGAGTTCACTATGGCTGCTGATTCTATCTCATTGCCAACCCCCAAGTACAAGTCAAGATATTGGCAAAGGTTTGCTCTATACATGCTTCCCACCCACCCAAATAAACAAATGCTGTAATTTTTTCATGTAGGAAAGTATTATAGCAAGGATATATTTTTGTCAGAGTTTTTCATTTTGTTTTTATTTGTAGGCATCTTGGATGTGTCCCCATAGCTGAAAAAACACACAAAGCAAAACATAATCTCCCTTCAAGTCAAGAAACGTGAGATGTATGTTTTTGCTCACCCCTCCCATGTTGGAATAGCTCTTTGCTTGCAGGGAATTTTTAACACAGGAGAGCATTAAAAATGTGGGATAGATGTGTAGACAGTTTCTTAAGACCAGACTTTCTAACTGCATAATTAAAAAAAAAAAAGACTCTGAAAGGCTCCAGTCCAGACTTGGACTATGATATGGGTGTCAAACAATTTCTGCTTTCACAATAGTCCACCTCACTGTGCAGTTTGTCTCTCTGCTGAGAATGAATGGAAAAAGGATGCATGAGAATAAACGTTTGGGTATTCTGTTTGCCTACATTGGGTGAGGCCAGTGAAGTGAATACATAGATACATTCTTTTGTATTTACAAATTCTTTTGTATTTGTAAGCCATCCATTGTTTTTAAAATAATAATAATAATAATAATAATAATAATACTGTCAACAATACCGAACAAATCAGGCCATGGTTATCAAACATCAAAAACATCTGCCAGGCTATCCCACCTCCTTTACGTGGACGATCTGAAGCTGTATGGAAAAACACCATCAGAAATAGAATCACTGCTCAACACTGTCTGTATATACAGCCAAGATACTGCAATGGAGTTTGGACTGGAGAAAGGTGCCACCCCTACCATCAACATGGGAAAAATAGTGAAAACTGAAGGAATCAAGATGCCCAATGGAAATAACATCAAAAGTCTGGATGAAGAAGATCCCTACAAATACCTGGGCATTCTTCAAGCTGACAACATCAAGCACACTGAAGTCAAGAAGAAGATTAGTAGTCAATATAACATGAGAATGAAGATCTTAAAGTCCAAATGCAGTGGTGGAAATACCATCAAGGCGATTAACACCTGGACAATTCCAGTCATTAGATACACAGCTAGAATAGTGGACTGTACTTAAGCAGAACTAGAAGCCCTGGATAGGAAGACCAGAAAAATAATGAGAATGAATCATGCCCTTCATCCAAACGGGCCTATAAGAAAGACCAAATCAAAAATCAAAAAGAGTCATGGCAAGGCAAAGTATTACATGGCCAGTACACAAAAAATCTAGCAGGCAAAGCAGATAACAACAAGACCTGGCAATGGGTAAGAGCAGGAAGGTTGAAGAAAGAGACAGAGGGGCTAATTCTGGCTACCCAAGACCAAGCCTTAAGAACAAACGCATACAAAGCCAGAATTGAGAAGGCAGCAACAGACAACAAATGCTGCCTCTGCAAAGAAGCTGACGAAACAGTGGATCACCTAGTTAGTTGCTGCAAGAAGAGCACACAGACTGACTACAA